GTCCCATTCACAATAGCAATAAAAACTATGAAATGTTTAGGAATATATTTAGCCAAAGTGATACACTGAAAATGCTATAAAATTGTATTTAGGAACATAAAACAATATTTGAATAAATGAAAAGACATACCATATTATTGATTGGGAAAGCTTGGTCTCATAAAAATCAATTCTATCCTAATGAAGATATAAATTTCCTGTAATGCCAGTTTAAATCACATTCAGCCTTTTCTCAAAGTCTGCATTTGACAAGATTTCCCTGGGCTGCAATTAGAAAGGATGAAAACTTACCTAAAAAGGTTTTATGTAATTCCATCATGTCACAGTTGCCTGTTGAAATAATTTGCTGAGTCCCTTGTCACGTATAAAGCCAGTACTATCAGGCATTGTTGTTTTGTGTAGCTGTTCTTACTAAAAGTCAGACTGGAGCAGAGAGAGAGTGGGAGTTGCCTCATGGCACTGTCAAATCTTGGTAAAAATACAAAACCAGTTCTGACCTGCCTTTCTATTTACACCTTCTGTAGCTAATAAGGAAAGGCTGTGCTGAGAGAAAGAAGATTGGTGGTGAAATGGAAAATAAATTATCCGTGGTTCCTTTTAGGATTGTTCTCTTCCATCATGCGGGAGCTTGCCAACATCACCCATGATGGGCCCAAGTGGATCTTACTGGATGGCGACATAGATCCAACGTGGATAGAGTCTCTCAACACTGTCATGGACGACAACAAGGTATCAGTGGGGAAGGGGAGTCTGCGTCATCCCTACTCATCTATGAAACCTGTACCCCAGGCACATTTGGAAATCTCAATTCCACACAGGGCTAGCCCTGAGTACAGAATTATTACCAGTGTCTTTATTTTTTTTATCTATTCCAGCTTTATGGAGATATAATTGACATAGAACATTGTGTAAATTTAAGGTATACAATGTGATGATTTGAAGTATGCATATATTTTGAAATGATTACCACAATAAGGTTAGTTAACACCTCCATCACCTCATCTGATCATCTTTTTGTTGTTGTTTTTGAGAGCTTTTAAGTGCTAAGATCTACTCTCTTAGCAACTTTCAAATATGCAATACAGTATTAACTATAGCCACCATGCTGTACATTACATTGTAGGATTAATTTATCTTATAACTAGAAGTTTGTAACTTTTGACCTCCATCCATTTCCTCCACCCACCTCATCACCCCCAACCCTGGCAACCACTGATCTATTCTGTTTCTATGATTTTGTTTCTTTTAGATTCCATATATACATGAGATCATATAGTATTTTTCTTTCTCTGTCTGATTTATTTCATGCACCATAAAATCTGCATGTAGATTAATTTAATATTTAGAGCTGAAAGGAGTCTTAAATCATCTCTTCCAATCTTTGTTTTTTCTTTCCAAATAAGGAAACTAAAGATCAGAAATATTCTGAGCCTGTCAGACATTCTCAATGGTGACACTCTTTATCCATGGAAAAAATATTTTTATTTTGTTTTATTTTGGTATCATTAATATACAATTACATGAGCACCATTGTGGTTACTAGATTCCCCCCATTATCAAGTCCCCACCACATACCCCTTTATAGTCACTGTCCATCAGCATAGTAAGATGCTATAGAGTCACTACTTGTCTTCTCTGTGCTATACTGCCTTCCCCATGCCCCCCTATATTATGTGTGCTAATCGTAATACCCCTTATTTCCCTTATCCCTCCCTTTATATTTTTATTTTTTATAAGCAATGAAGACTAACAGTGCCAATAAACTAGCTATTAAGCTGGTGGCTGCTCCTAAACTTGCTCAGAAAGTACATCCATATTAGAAGTGTTACAATGGTTTCTACATTTATAGGATTATTAGAATAAATGTATGTTCTCCCAGAAGGATGACCTAAAGAGACACGGTAGTAATAAGAAGCCTAAGCTTTTTTCCTTTAATAATCTTATTATTCCAGTATGGCCTAATTCATTCAAATCACTGACATCAATGTAAGTTTTTTAGGTAACTTATTTCCTGACTCGGTATACACACGGGTGGGAGTGGAGAGAGGAGAGAGAGAGGATTGTTGTAGAAAATTTAGAAAACACATGTAATCACAAAGAAGAAAGCAATCATCTGTAATTCTTACAGGAGAAATCCAGCAAATCCCCACCAGCTGGCCATGCGCCCTAACTCCTCCCCACCTGTTGTCCCCCCCATTGTTTCCAGGTGCTGACCCTGGCTGGCAATGAGAGGATCCCTCTGAATTCCACGATGTGGATCCTCTTTGAGATCAGCCACCTGCGCATGGCTACCCCAGCCACCGTCTCCAGAGCAGGTATGGCATGAGAAAGGACAAAACCACAGAACTGCTTGGCTGAAAACAGGCACCTCCAGCATCACACAGGACCTGGCTGGCATTGCAGGAAGCTCCCAAAGGGAGCCAGGCACCCACCAGCCAATCCTCAGCCCCAATCCACATCCATGAGCGTGAGCAAGCGCTCTCAGGCCGGGACCCTGTGACCGTCCTAATTCAGAAATGTTATGGTAGGGAAGGGGAATGGCCCCTGGGCTGGACAACTGTACACAAGTGCCTCAAATTAGGCTGCTTTCAAGCCAGTGCTCGCCTCCGTGACAGTGGAGGTGACAAGCTTTGTGACTCTCACGACATCCTAGTGGAAGATAACAACTTTATGCCTTAACTTTCCTCTAACACCAAGGCCAAATTTATTGACAGGCTAGAGGGTAAAGAGATCTCCACCATCATGACAGATTCCCTTGCAGGGACCTGTGCTGAGGTTGTGAACAGGGCCCAAGAGATTTGCCTCTCCCAGCCTATTCATTTCCAAGGAGCACTGTAACGAATCACAACCTTGGTGGCTTTGCAAACAGCAGTAATTTATTCTCTCTTTCTTCTGCAAGTCAGACATCCGAAATCAAAGTTTCAGGCCAGCTGCCTTCCCTCTGAAGGCTTCAGGGGAGCACCCTTCCTCACACAGTCTGGCTGAGGCACTCCTTGGCTTGTGGCCTGTGACTCCAGGCCCTGCCTCCATCTTCACGTGGCCTTCTCTGTGTGTGCCTTTCCTCCGCTGTCTCTTAGAAGGACACTTGCACGTGTTCAACCTAGATAATCCAGGATGATCTCATCTCAAGATCCTGAATTACACCTGCAAATGTCCTTTTTCAACATAAGATCGTGTTCCCAGGGTCCCAGGGTTAGGACATGGACAGATCCTTTCAGGTCCCACCATTTGACCTGCCACACACTTCCACACCATGCCAAGTATGCCTAATGGCATAGCCTTCTCTCTTCTTGAGCCTAGAGTTGGCCTTAAGATCCTTGCCAACACTGCTTTCCACCAGCTGTTCTCAGTCCAGAGCTGGCCCCAAGAGCAAACCCACTTGCCCCAAAGTCATCAGCCAGATCTCCGTTCTTTTGAAGTCCAGTGTTCTGTATGTTTTCTAAACAGAGAAAACAACTCTGGGGTGAAGACTATAGTGACACCTGTGGAAAACTCACTGAACAATATTCTCTGTGCTCCCAGGGATCCTGTACATCAACCCAGCAGACCTGGGGTGGAACCCTGCAGTGAGCAGCTGGATCGACAAGAGGGAAATCCAGACAGAGCGAGCCAACCTAACCATTCTGTTTGACAAGTATCTTCCAACCTGCTTAGACACACTCAGAATCAGGTAGGTCACAAAACACAGGATGTAATGCGTTAAAGCTGCAGAAGAACTGGTTGGCTCACATCCGAGGCCCCCCTGACACTGTGTCCTGCCCCTGAAGTCAGATGTCCCTAAGCATTCCCCTGTGGGTGTGGCAGATGGCAGAGGGGAACGCACACTAGGATGGCCACGGGATGCCTATTATCAGTTCAGGCAAGAAGTGAGGTGGGTGAGGAGGAGGAGGAAGGTGGCAAGTGCCTCCCATGAGTGCATGTGGGTGTATCCAGCGGAGGCGGCAGGTTGTAATACACAGCAATCCTGAAGTCCTTTGGTTTGCAGGACACACAGCTGGTCCTCCTACAGAGGCCAGGCTAACAGACCTAGAGGTCAGTGGCCCTCGATACCCACATTCTGTTCCTGGTCATGTATGTTCATGGCCCATGTAATGCAGGATCAGGTAGAATGCATCGTTTGGCCAGTCCTGCCCCTCTGGACACTGTGAGTTCACCTCTCCTCTTACAGGTCTGCAGGAGCAGAGGCAATAAGCCCTGGACACTTATCACATGAACAAGAGATTATTCCTCTTAACCAAAAAGATACTTATAGCCACAATATCACATGTGTCTGCAAAGAGAGGTTCCAGCATTAGGCCCCTGCTTTTGTTTTACATTCTCTTTCTTGGTCAATTGATGCATCATTCTATGAATCAGGCACCCAAATTTGTGGTTCCTCCAACTTCAACCATCAGAGGCTGGTGCCGTGAAGGCAACGTGACTCAGAGATGCACAGCTCTTAAAGGGTCAGCAGGTTAGGGTCAGGATTGTTTTGGGGAAATTAAGTCCACCACTCAAAATGATCTCTGACTCTTTTATTCATTGGTCTGTCAAGCACAGGATGGAGAACCACTGGCATGCACACAAGCAGAGGTGAATGAGTGCCCCAGGCCCTCTGACTGCACATGCCTGCCCTCACCCCATCAAAATCCACCCACATTTAGAGTGAATTTTATATAACTAAAACCCGAGTTGCAGCTGAGCCATTGACGTAGTATATTTTTAGATATTTAATCACACACATATTAATTTTGATTTTGAAATTTTTATATGCCAGGGTCAGTAATTACTTTTCCAAATTTCACCATTTTCATAAACCCATGAAAAGCCTTCAGCCCTTTGTGGCCTGTGGGCCCCGTGGCCTTGGCTAATGAGATAAAGCGGCTCTGGCAGCAGGCAAAGTCTGAAAGTGGGAATGGTGGCTAGTGTCTCCTGGGGGCAAGGGCAGCAAAGAGGTCAACCAGAAGGGAGATTTTAGGAAACCAGCATGCACCTGTTCTTTGTCATTTGCTGAGACAATTGTCCAGTTTGTCTTTTGACTAGGAGGCCATTCCCCACTCTGGGCATTTAGAACAAGAGATGCCAAACTCTTGTCTATATGGGTATGGGCAAGTGTGTGTTCATGTGCATGTGCAAACCTTGGAACAAGCTTTGAAGACACTAACTGTACTAAATCTCTCCAGACACAACACCCCCCAGTCTCTGAATTCTGGTTATCAAGGAAAAAGCACAGCTGTCAATTATGGTTATCTCATTTAACTCTCACAGCATTCCTAAGAGGGCATAATATCCCATAGACAAAGAGCTGGGGTTCCATGGTGCTCCCTCGGGGCCACAGCTAGTTAGTGACAAGGTGCACACTTCAAAGTCTTACTGGTATTTTAATCCGTCACGGCATCATAGTGCTGGCTTTGTGGGGCCCTGTTACTATGAAGCTGTGTGAGGTCAACATAGTGTGATTTTTATACTGAATGAGTGGGCCTCATAAGGGATGATTATAAAGCAACTTATTTTGTTTCCCACTGTTCGTTCAAAACCATTTTATGTGGCTGGTTCTCCTCCCACCCCTGGATGACATCTAGGTAAACACCCGTGACTTTACCCGTCATTCTCCAGTAATAAAAAGGTATCTGATCATTTGTAATCACACAATCACACATGTGTGCACATACACACACATGAAAATTTAAAGAAAATACACAGTGAAAATTTTAAAAAGCAGACTGCATTTAAATGACACTTCTCCCCTGGCCCATAGCTCAGGCCATCTTCCAGATGTCACCCTCAGTGCCAAAGGAAAGTGTCCTTGACTTCCTCTGTCCTGACTCTACCAGTCACCCCCTCAATCAGCTGCAGCTTCTGACCTGTCAGGGCTGAAGGGTGATGGAGAGAAGAGAGTAAGAGGGAGGAAAGGCCTTAATGACTGGCTCTGGCATGGCCTTAGTTACCCTAACTGTGGCAGATCCAAAATTGAAGATTTTGTGAGTCCTTGGGCCGCTCTCCATCACTGGGGATCTTCCACATGCCTTCCTTTGAAGAAAGTAAATGCATCTCCATCAGCCGGTCTTGTATAACTCCTCATGCAAACTGCTCCTTTGGCTGGCATCTAAAGCACCCCACATGCTCATGGCTCACAGGGGGATTCCAGGAAATACTCGCCCCTCCCTGCTTTGATAAATGGGAGCACAGGCTGCCCCAGCGAGCAACCTCCTCGCTCCGCTATGAGATAAGCCAGTCTCTTCAAGGTTCTTCAAGTACAGGTCCTTTGCTGCTTCAGAGCGGTCCTACTGAAGCCCTTTCTCCAACTTTATTCCGGGTGAGCACCTGCCTTCCCTGTGCATGAGGGGACACTTTTCGCCCACCAGGTGTTCTCTGTGTGCCAACTGCTGGCCCCTCCGGCATCTCCCACTTCCATCCTCTCTTCCTGGAGAAGATGAGAGGCCAGGGTTGTAACAGCCTTTACAGGCACCCCCGGGTTGCCTGGATGTCAGTTTGGAATGGTCAGCCTAGTCGGCCCCTATCATCTTGGTACCTTATTCAAAACTCTGCCTGAGACAGCTACATTTTAACCTTCTGTTGCAAATATGTGTCAAATGAAGAAAAGCCTCTCAAGTACTCAATTTTCCCCTCACTCATGGAAGCCTTGACTACTGGACTACTTCATAGTGTTGTTGTGAGGTGCAACTAGACTGAGAGCAGGTGTAAGAACCAAACACTAAGAAGAATGGAATGTGAGGGAGCGCTGAGGCCCATTGCTGGAGAACGACTGAAGGTCTCAGTCGGCGGTGTCATTCATCCTGTAACAGCGCACCTGCTCCTGTGTGGCCCGTGAGGTCATCTTGCCGTGGGAGGCAGCTGCGAGGGCAGGTGTGCAGGAGAGGTTGAGCGTGTGGGTATGTGGGCACTCTGTATATATGCATGGTGGGCTGAAAGTGCCCTTGTGCATACATACATGTGTGCGTGCATGCCTGTGTGTGTGTGTGCGTGCGCACGCATGTGTGTGGATGCACACATGCTCCTGTTCCCTTGGGCACAGGTCACCTTTGTACATCCCTTGATACCTGCCTTTCAGTCAAGACCTCCAAAGCCAAGGTTAAGAGGACAAACACCAGGCCAGGACAGAGGCACAGGTGCATAGTCTTGGAAGACAAACTCCATCAAGTAAATCATGATTGTATAAAATAATCATTTGTCCACTCTGCACTCCTCCCACCCCAATATAAGACTCTGGCCCCAAGGGAAACATTTTCACTGTGTTTTAGTTACTCCTCTGAGCAGAAGGAATGGAAGCAGCAACCTCAGAATGGCACCCATATTGACTCTTGAGGTGCTTTCTTTCAAAAGAGAAAATTCTGAGATATTTACTTACATTTTCACAGCTGCCCACATTTCCCAAGGATTGAGAGGGGTCATCAGTGTTCAGAGGAGGGAAGAGGGAGGCGAGAGTATCAGAGGAAAGGGTGATAGGAAAAGGAACCTTCCCAGAAACCTTCTGGGCCCTTACTTGTCTGCACAGAGAGATGACCCAAAATAGCTGATGAGGATGCAGGCTGAAGAAGCGTCTGGCCCTCTGTAAGCCCTAAGAGTCTGGCAGGTCATGAGCCCACCAGAACCAAGTGGCTTGCGCAGCCATCTGACCATGCCTCTAGGATGGAAAATGCAGTGTTCTAGAGCACATCTGGCTCTCTCTTTGCAGATTTAAGAAGATAATTCCTATCCCAGAGCAGAGTACGGTGCAGATGCTCTGCCACCTTCTTGAGTGTCTCCTGACCAAGGAGGACATCCCTGCAGACTGCCCCAAGGAAACCTATGAGCTGTATTTTGTGTTTGCTGCCATCTGGGCATTTGGTGGAGTGATGGTTCAAGATCAGGTAAGAGGCTGGGATGCAGTGAGCACCTACATCCATGTCCACAGCAGCAAAACCTGATCTTCCAGCAAAGATTTGGGAGATGGGACATCTAAATGTCAGGATGAACATGAATGCACCAGATGGTTTAGTTATCCATGCATTGCTCTGCTGAAGACATGCATTCCCATGAAAAGGTGTCCTGGGGGAGGCAGGTGAGATTTTGCTGTTTCTTGTTGAGTTAGTGACTGTATCACTGCTTTCCTGGAGAGCTGTATGTCTGAGCTTCAACAGCTGGAGGGTACTGTGCAAGGTGATGTGAGTTTTATAGGTGGAATAATGCTGTGCCGTAGAATGAATAGGAGGAATCCCTTGAGCCTTTGAAAAGTCCCTCAGAAGTACGAGGCCAGAGGGAACCAGCATGTCTCCTTACCCTTAAAATGCAGAGCTGTCCATGGAAGTTTAGACCAAAAGTTAGTTGCCGGCTGTGGGTAGGAAACCAAAGCAGTATGTGTCTCATAGCGTTGGCTGCAGGAGCCTCATGCAGTTCGGAGGTAGGGATGTCAGGCTGGAGTATCTTGGCATCCTTATGCCCTAGCCGTTCCTGTATTCCCAGCCTTTTTCTTTACTTAATTTCATCCAAATAAAAAGCACTTTGTCTAGAGATATCCCATTCAAGGTTATGCAAACCAGTCTTTTACAACTGACTCTAGCTACCAGGCAATGTCACATACAGGTTTAAGAACATGGACTCTGGATTTGAATTGTAACTTGGCCCTTCATTATGGCTCCTTGGGCAAAATTACTTAACCTCTCTCTACCTTACTCCCCCATGGGTACAAAGGAGATGAGGGTGGTGATGGTACCCAGTTCCTAGGATGGCTGTGAGGATTAAGTCAAGGGACACTGTTTTACTTGTCTGGCATGAATATGTGCAAAAGATTTAAAGTCATGCTGGCACATGTGTGTGTTTGTTATTCATATTCTCCTGCCATAATATCCAGGTTCACAGTAAATATCTGATACCTCTTGCATGACAGGAGCAAACCAAGCTGCCCTGTTGTATATTTGGGCTTGGCCATGTCAGCCAGTTTGAGCACACTGAGTGCACAGTGCTATCCTGAGAGGCACAGGATCTGATCTGTATGCATGTCAATTATATGTCTCCACCCATTCCTTTTGTCATGAAGACCCATTTGTGTTTGTCTTTGCTGCTCCTAGACTTAGAATTTTAGCTATTGAGGACACCGTAGAAGTCTTTTCTTGGATCCTTATTTTATGGATGGGGAAATGGAGGCACAGAAAGAAGTGGTCAGAGAGTTAGGATTTACTCCTTTTGGTCTGGCTTGATTGTGGGCTCTTTGGAGAGAGAGGGAAAATGTGTCAGCCTCCTGGGACAAAGCCTTGTTCTAAGAATCCAGAGTAGAGGTGAGCTGGGAGAATTCACAATTAATTTAGAATTCACAGTTAATTTTTTTTCACAGGCCCTGGCTGTAAACATCCAGACCCCCTCCCACTACCTGCTAACATGTCCTTTTGTGCTCCAAATTCAGTAGGCAGCTCTCACGAGCTCCTGGGACCAGGCCTTTCTCCATCTCCCTCCCCAGAGCTGGTGCTGGTGGGAAGGGGGAATCTTCACAGTCAGGAGGAGGCTAGACAGAGAGCTTGACACCTGAGGGTTTCATGCTGTCTGTTCTGTAGCCCCGGGAGCTTCTCCATGGACTGCCTCATTGGCAGTTATATTTCCTCTTTGAGGCAAGGAGGCAACCAGTCCAGCAAAATGGATTAGAGCTTGCGAAAGGCACAGAGACCCAGATTCATAGGTTAGTGCTTCCCATGAAACACATTCCTTGACCTTTCAGTGCTGAAATGCCAGACAGCAAGCATTGCTGGGCATCCTCCACTCCCAAGCAGTAGGATATCAGGATGAAGTACTTGGTCAATTTTCTGTCTCTGTATGGAAAACTGTAAATCCACTCAACTCTTTTCTATAAACTCAGGAGAAAGCATCCCTTCATTGTCCTGGGCTCTGGAGTGCCTGGAGCTGTAGGCAGCCATGCTGGCACATGCAGAGAAGACAAGGGCAAAAGCTTTTAGCAGCAGGGGTGGTCCAAGACCCCCTGCACAAGCTGCTTCAAGCCAGACTACAAAAATAGTGCTCCAAGTCGACAAGTAGGAAGTTGGCCAAAAGACTCACAACAGGATCACCAGTTGTGCTTACATTTAACAGGCTGTCATTAAAGCAAAACAGAAATACAAAATGCAGCCCATACCTGAGTAGAAGGTCCAAAAAAGGCCAGGGCTGGGGGAGGTTTTCCCTAAATGCTTTGCAGGGATCACAGGACACAGTCTCTCAGAGAGCTCCATACTGGGAAAGTGAAACCTGGGTTCAAATTCCAATTCTTCCAGATGCTTCTAGATGTGTAACCTTTGAACTTTTGTCTTTTGATACATAAAAGAGGAATAATTTTCACCAGGATAACTTGGAGGCATTGTGAGGACCAAATGAGGTGATGTTACATTCCAAACTCGGCTACAGTCTGTGGAGACAGCCTCAGGGTCCCTGAGGTCAAAGGGCAGGAAGAGAACCAGAGAATTGTCTGAGTCTAAAGGAGAAGGGGCCTCTGCACTTAAGGTCACTGCTGCAGAGCCATCCCCCTGCCCCCCACAAAGAGCTGAACTGAGAAAGGGCCATCGAATGACTCAGCAGAGGTGACCTTGATTATATTACAGTGACCAGTTATAGTAGAATGCAAGGTCACACTCCAGCTTACAGGTGGTGAGACAATGTTGGTACAGCCCAGCTAATGGTTTGGTTGAGAAGCTGACTGAGTAACTCAGGTGAGATTGGAGAAGAGGAGAGAAGATCCATCGAATCTTCTTTCGAGAGGTTGTCTTCATCTCAGATTTCCCATCTAAACCTAAAATCTGGCTTTTAAAGGTCCTCAAGAATATTATCAATGAGTTAAAAATAGGGATTTTTCTAGGGCTTCCAATTGCAGAGAACAATACTGAGAGACACAGCGTACCCTTAATCAGAATAAGAACAGCAAACAAACCTGTCCTCACAATAGAGCCTATTTCCATTCTCATTTTAAAGCAAAATAATTCAATCCTATTTACCTAATGGTAGGAAAATGCCGAGTACCATTCTTCCAGGTCCAGCTTCATTCCCACGCAGCCAGCTTCCTGGTGTGTCCTGCCTTTGCACTTCCTCTCTGGCCTGCCCTCCAGGAACGTTTCCTAAAATGCCCAATCTCAGTCTCTTTTCTTTTTTTAGATTTTTCCTAGGTCTGTGTGTTCAAAGAGGGGGTTTGAACTCCTCCCCTAGAGGGTTGCTAGTAGCACTAGTTTTGTGGCTGGTGGGAGGTCGGGGTGTGAACGTGCATGTGCATGTGCATATGGGTGTATATTTGGGCTTGGCCATGTCAGCCAGTTTGAGCACACTGAGTGCACAGTGCTATCCTAAGAGGCACAGGATCTGATCTGTATGCATGTCAATTATATGTCTCCACCCATTCCTTTTGTCATGAAGACCCATTTGTGTTTGTCTTTGCTGCTCCTAGACTTAGAATTTTAGCTATTGAGGACACCTTAGAAGTCTTTTCTTGGATCCTTATTTTATGGATGGGGAAATGGAGGCACAGAAAAAAGTGGCGCTCCTCCCACCCCACCACCCTGTGCCCCCAGCATCAGTGGTCACTGTTTTATTCATGCCACTGACTGCCATCCTGGGCATTGCTCAGTCTCAGGGGTATAGGAAGACAGAGCTCTATCTCGTTGGGAGGTCCTGACCACACTTGCCCACCTTGTGGACGCAGGCTCCCACTGTCCTCCATGTTCCCACCCGTTTCTGCCCATGCACCCCACAAAGCACTGGGGTGACTCAGCTGCGAGGTCCAGCAGCTGGGCATGTTCATGGCTGAGGGCTGCCAGCTGGACCTTGTCAGGCTGGTCCTGGGGGGAGCAGTGTCCTTCCTGGAGGATTTGGTCCACTGAGCGGCCTGCACAAACCGGGCCACTTTGTGTCCCCTCCCTGACCTCTGCCTGATGCCACGGCGGCTCGTCCAGCTTACCGGCTCTGGGAAACCGTGCACCCTAACCTGCTTTGTTTAGGCAGCTTGTGGACTACCGGGCAGAATTCAGCAAATGGTGGCTGACAGAGTTCAAGACAGTCANTCAGACAGTTTGAGCACACTGAGTGCACAGTGCTATCCTGAGAGGCACAGGATCTGATCTGTGTGCACGTCAATTATATGTCTCCACCCATTCCTTTTGTCATGAAGACCCATTTGTGTTTGTCTTTGCTGCTCCTAGACTTAGAATTTTAGCTCTTGAGGACACCTTAGAAGTCTTTTCTTGGATCCTTATTTTATGGATGGGGAAATGGAGGCACAGAAAGAATTGGGGCTCCTCCCACCCCACCACCCTGTGCCCCCAGCATCAGTGGTCACCATTTTATTCATGCTGCTGACTGCTATCCTGGGCATTGCTCAGTCTCAGGGGTCTAGGAAGACAGAGCTCTATCTAGTTGGGAGGTCCTGACCACACTTGCCCACCTTGAGGACGCAGGCTCCCACTGTCCTCCATGTTCCCACCCGTTTCTGCCCATGCACCCCACGAAGCACTGGGGTGACTCAGCTGCGAGGTCCAGCAGCTGGGCATGTTCATGACTGAGGGCTGCCAGCTGGACCTTGTCAGGCTGGTCCTGGGGGGAGCAGCATCCTTCCTGGAGGAGCTGGTCCACTGGGCGGCCTGCACAAACCGGACCACTTTGTTTCCCCTCCCTTACCTCTGCCTGATGCCAGGGCGACTCGTCCAGCTTACCGGCTCTGGGAAACCGTGCACCCTAACCTGCTTTGTTTTGGCAGCTTGTGGACTACCGGGCAGAATTCAGCAAATGGTGGCTGACAGAGTTCAAGACAGTCAAGTTTCCTTCCCAGGGAACCATCTTTGACTACTACATAGACTCAGAAACCAAGAAATTTGAGCCTTGGTCCAAGCTCATCCCCCAGTTTGAATTTGATCCCGAGATGCCTTTGCAGGTGAGTGTGCCAAGTGAACAGACACGTGTGGTCATCCCAGGACCTGCAGAGGCTGCTGCCCCTTATGGGAATCCAAGTGTTCTGGCCTTGCTAGGAACTAGTCATTCCCAGCTACACAGCTTTTCTGGGGAAATTATAGGCGCAATGCAGTACAAGATCCCCCAAAGGGCTCTTGATTCCTAGAGCCCCCCAGCATCCTGTGGGCAGAAGGTTAAAAAAAACAACTAAAATATGTGAGAGAAGCCACAGGGAGGCAGACAGAGCTGGAAGAGGACGGGAGGGGATACTCGCTACACTGAGGGGGAGTTATAGGATGGCCTTACCATGGCTATGAGGGGAGACACTCCTGCCCACAGTAGTGAGCCTGCTCCGCCCTGCTGGCAGCATCCCTCTCCTGAAATGGTCCAGAACGTTTTGCAGTGCATCTGTCTCTCCCACAAGCCCCTGGCACGCTCATCGTGTTCCCGTTCCAGGCTTGTTTGGTGCACACGAGCGAGACCATCTGAGTGTGCTACTTCCTGGAGTGCTTATGGAGCGGCGGTGGCCAGTCATGCTGCTGGGGACCGCGGGCACCAGCAAATCAGTGCTGGTGGGAGCCAAGCTGGCCAGCCTCGATGGCGAGCAGTACCAGGTGAAAACGTGCCCTTCAACTACTACACCACGTCGGCAATGCTGCAAGGTNAATGGATGAGAGCTTGTGAAAGGCACAGAGACCCAGATGCATAGGTTAGTGCTTCCCATCAAACACACTCCTTGTCCTTTCAGCTGCTGAAATGCCAGACAGCAAGCATTGCTGGGCATCCTCCACTCCCAAGCAGTAGGATATCAGGATGAAGTACTTGGTCAATTTTCTATCTCTGTATGGAAAACTGTAAATCCACACAACTCTTTTCTGTAAGCTCAGGAGAAAGCATCCCTTCCATTGTCCTGGGCTCTGGAGTGCCTGGAGCTGTAGGCAGCCATGCTGGCACATGTGGAGAAGACAAGGGCAAAAGCTTTTAGCAGCAGGGGTGGTCCAAGACCCCCTGCACAAGCTACCTTCAAGCCAGACACCAAAAATAGTGCTGTAAATTGAAAAGTAGGAAGTTGGCCAAAAGACTCACAACAGGAACACCAATGGTGCTTACATTTAACAGGCTGTCATTAAAGCAAAGCAGAAATACAAAATGCAGCCCATACCTGAGTAGAAGGTTCAAAAAAGGCTGGGGCAGGGGGAGGTTTTCCCTAAATGCTTTGCAAGGATCACAGGATATAGTCTCTCAGAGAGCACCATACTGGGAGAGTGAAACCTGGGTTCAAATCCCAATTCTTCCAGATGCTTCTAGATGTGTAACCTTTGAGCTTTTGTCTTTTGATACATAAAAGAGGAATAATTTTCACCAGGATAACTTGGAGGCATTGTGAGGATCAAATGAGGTGATGTTACATCCCAAACTCTGCTATGGTCTGTGGAGACAGCCTCAGGGTCCCTGAGGTTAAAGAGCAGGAAGGGAACCTGAGGATTGTCTGAGTCTAAAGGAGAAGGGGCCTCTGCACTTAAGGTCACTGCTGCAGAGACAACCCCCTTGCCCTCCACAAAGAGCTGAACTGAGAAAGGGCCATTGAATGACTCAGCAGAGGTGACCTTGATTATATTACAGTGACCAGTTATAGTAAAAGGCGAAGTCATGCTCCAGCTTACAGGCAGTGAGCCGATATTGGTACAGCACAGCTAATGGTTTGGTTGAGAAGCTGACTGAGTAACTCAGGTGAGATTGGAGATGAGGAGAGAAGATCCATCCAATCTTCTTCTTTCTAGAGGTTGCCTTCATCTCAGATTTCCCATCTAAACCTAAAATCTGGCTTTTAAAGGTCCTCAAGAATTTTATCAATGAGTTAAAAATAGGGATTTTTCTGAGGCTTCCAATTGCAGAGAATGCTGAGAGACACAGTGTACCCTTAATCAGAATAAGAACAGAAAACAAAACTGTCCTCACAGTGGAGCCTATTTCCATTCTCATTTTAAAGCAAAATAATTCAATCCTATTTACCTAATGGGTAGCAAAATGCCGAGTACCATTCTTCCAGGTCCAGCTTCATTCCCACACAGCCAGCTTCCTGGTGTGTCCTGCCTTTGCACTTCCTCTCTGGCCTGCCCTCCAGGAACGTTTCCTAAAATGCCCAATCTCAGTCTCTTTTCTTTTTTTAGATTTTTCCTAGGTCTGTGTGTTCAAAGAGGGGGTTTGAGCTCCTCCCCT